ACACCGAACTTTATGATGGACTTTCGCCATGGGGCAGCAAAGTGACCCAGCTCGTGCATTACACTTGCCAGCGAACCCACCGCATAGCAGAGCTTTGGTTCTTTCCTAGGCTTGTATAGAGGCAAAGCTCGACTGTTCTTGGACGGCTGAACCCGAAACCCCAAAACCCTGGATGGACGCGTACTGGAGGATAGAGATGCTCCTCGCCCCTGGCCTTTTTTCCCCTACATTGCCCTATACTCCGAAGGCCCTTGCTAAGGAAACATAAAAGCCTAAAGCCCCGAATTTCCTGAAACCTAAACTCGAAATGCCGGTCGGCACCTTTCTTGCAGCTTTCTCAAGGCGACCTTCCACAAGCCACGGAGTCATCGCAAGCTCGGGCCCTTTCCAAGGATACGGAGTTCTCAAGTTTAGGGTTTAGGGTTTCAGGGTTTGGGATTTAGGGTTAAGTTAAGGTTTAGGGTGGCTCCCATCGTTGTGAACATGAGAAAAGCCAATAAACCACACACACACACAGAGCACAGAGACGCACATCAAGCACGCATCATGTGTGCACATGCACTGCGCAGCAGCTAACCGCGCCGGCAGAACGCTGCTCCTCTTCGGCTTCCTCCGCTCTGGCCTTGTCCAGACAAGCTTATGGGGCGGCCCTTTCGAGGGATCCTTGTACCGGGTGGAATAAGGGCTTTCGGGTAGCTAGGATTCTTGCAAGTGGGCATTGCTTCCGTTCGGAAATCTGCAGCAACAGGCTAAAGTTCAATGCCTGACTTGTCCCTAGGACCACCTACCCTAAACCCTAAACCAGGCACTGGAGCATTGAAGCAGCAGCAGCGCGGCCCATGCACACGCTCGTTGCTGGGGCTCTGTTTTGGGTTTGGGTCCTTTCGGCTGTCCGCCTTAGAGTGCTGGCATGGTAGCATGGGATCCTTATGGAGGGAATCTACACCTTGTGGGGGCTAAGGAAGTTGTTCTCAGGCCTTTGCGGAGCTTGAAGTTGCGATTCAGCGTCCCCCAGCTACGAAACCGCATGATCGCGACAGGGTTAGGAACCTCTTGGCCGTAAACCCTGAAGCCAACAACTCTAACCCCCTAACTCCCAAAACCCCTAAACCTCCGGAACCACCAAACCCCCAAAACCCCCAAACCCCAAAACCACAACCCCTAAAACCCTGAACCCCGAACTGAATATGTACACCCCCCCCCTCCTCAACCTTGGCATCGGCCGCCACGACTTCGGCATCTCGGCGCTGATCCTGCTGATTTCGCACAGGCATGCTCTGGCTTCATGGGTCTTCAGCATGCTAGCATACAATGTAGCATGTTCTAGTGTATTATAGTAGGTAACACGATCAGAACGATCAATCGCCAGCCTGAAATGCCGGGATCGCAATGCTGCCTCCTGCACCTTGCATCCCAAACCTATCTTCGAATGTCTAGCCTCAACAACTCTAAAACACCTACCCATACCCTCCCATGCAGGATCTTGAACGAAAGAAAACAAAACAGACAACCCACAAAAATACTCAGAACTGAGAGTCTAGGTAGAGTGGGAAACCTGCGCACCGAAACGGCGCAAATATAGACGTGTAAGTGTGTAAGTAACTGGTGGTAACACCTACCCTTGCAATCCTTGTACAATATACGGTCATGTACACCCAAACCCCCCGTAAGCCCTAAACTAACCACTATCTGGTGGGCCTCTAAGTCCTTCCACTGCTGGATCTCTGCGTCCTTCTGATCCAAGGCATCTTCCTGGCATGATTTGGGGGCGTTCGGGTTTGAGGGTTTAGGGTTTAAGGGTTTACAGGTTTTAGGGTTTAGGGGTTTAGGGTCCATAAGATAATAGTGACAAACAGAACAGAATAGGGTCTAGAGCTATATCGTACAAACTATGTGTATATATGTAAAATGAATGATATGCATATGTATATATAGTTATGTATGTATGTATGTATGTATATATATATATACCTGGGACAGCAAACGACCTTTAATAAAGCGTTAATTTGGAATAACTTGGTTTCTTCGTGGTATAATCATAAATACCGGTTTTAGAACCCCACGCCCGGAAACCGCCTCAGGAGCACCAAAAGCTGAGAATCCAGGGAATCCAGGGTATTCAGGGCATCTGGGGGGGGTGGCTTCTGATTAAATACTTTTGTGAACAATCGATGAGGGGTGATCTGGTTGTTTTGTGACTACAATTTCTGCTGGGAGGCCGCGTTGCCTGCTCTCGAGAGCAAGAGATGCCCCAATCGATGGAATCTTAATTGTCAAGTTCCCAAAAAGCCAAATCCCCGTATCACACATCTATATGCAAACCCTGAATCCAGACTCGCTAGAATCATCCTTCAGTCTTGAAGTTCAGATAGACTTTATGTACCTAAAGCTACATTTAAATGAAAGACAGCTTGCAAGCTGAAATGATGAGCGACTTGCTGGACCTCGTGCTGCTCGTTGACTGCTCTGGGAGGACCGGATGGGCTTTGGATTGGGTTCATATAGGTTTCGGAATTAAGTGGAATTTATCTTACGGCGCTGTTTGAACCCGACCCCCTAAACCCTAAACCCTGGACCTGACCCCACCCCTCGGAAAGCCCTCCAAGCCCACTTTTTTCGCCGCAGGATGCGGCGTGCGACGCGGCTTGCTTGGCCTCGGCAAGGCTCGAATCGGGCTTCGTGCCGGAGGGCTCCACCAGGTTTTAGGTTGTGTGTAGTTACTCTAAGGTTGGGGTTGTATAGGTCTTATGGTAAGGCTTCTTTTTTCTTAAGGGGGTGATGGACTAAAAGGGGCTATAGGTCGGACTTAAAGTGGCTTCTGTGGACTTCGTGGTTTCAAACCATCATTGATCTCCACACCTTTTCTCACTAGCCATTTGGGCTGTTGTGCAGTTTCTGAGATTTCAATCGGCGTTAGAGCAGCCATGGTCAAAAGACATGCAGAGCTGTCACAGTTGCCAGGGAATTGGGAGAGTGTGCGGAAGCTGCGCACCCGAGCAGCCCAAGGGCATTCAGTGTTTATCTCGACGGTTGCAGGATCAAGTTCATGTCTGGGCAACCTGAAAGATTGTGCTGAAAACTATGACGCCCTCATGTGCATCTTGAAGCTCATGCTGGAGAGTCGCACATGCGACACACCAGCAGTCGAGACCATGAGTGAGAAATGCAGGGAATTTCTGGAAATGGCGAATTTTCCTGACAAGTCCGCGGGAGCGACTATGGTTGTGGCACACCGCGACGCGTGGAGTGCCAAGCGTTGCTTGACGTTCTTGAAGCGCAAATGGGCACGCAATGAGGTTCCCAAGGACCGCATTCTGTGAATTCGTTTTCTATTAGCAGACATGCATGCATGCAACATGTTTATGTCGATGAGATGTGTATCTTTAGTTGTGATGCAGGATGCCAAAGTCAAGGAGTTGGTTGGGATGTACGATGCTATCTGTGAGGCTGCTCTTGCTGCTCCTTTATGATCAACTAATTTCATTTACAGGTTTCTCTTTGAGAAAGAACTATAATTGATGGCATGAATATTTGTTTGTATGCATCTGTGAGCAGTGCACACTCAAGGCAGGGGACAGCATCATCCGGCGAGAGTCGTCGGAGGATGACGTCCTTGTCGAAGAAGAGCACGAGCAGCACTTGGTAACGGTAGAATCGGGATCACAGGTGGTGCCAGCGGACACAGTAGCTTCGGGATCAGATTTGGTGCCAACGGAGACAGTAGCTTCGGGATCAGATTTGGTGCCAACAGAGACGGTAGCTTCGGGATCAGAAGTCGTGCCAACGGAGACGGTTGCTTCGGGATCAGAAGTCGTGCCAACGGAGACGATTGCTTCGGGAACAGAGCCGAGACCAGAGTCACGGATCACTCCTATGACCGTATCTGATATGCAGGATAGCCAGCTCTTCTGTTATGCAGGACTTCGTAGAGATGCTGTTGGCCATGTGGAAGCTGCAGATTCAGAGCCGTTGCAAGTGGGAAACCAAGCTTCGGGATCTTCGGGTTCAGAGCCAGTGGCAGGGGAAATCCGCGCTTCAGAAGTTTCGGGTTCAGAGCCGGTGGCAGTGGAAATCCGAGCTTCAGGATCTTCGGGTTCAGAGCCGGTGGCACAGGAAGTGGGCAAGAGTTCCAGGGCCAAGGTGGTTACAATGGACTCGTTGTCTTCAGGCAGGGAAGTTGCACGACCCCTGGCCAGCTTGGAAGCCAAGCTCGCCTTGAGCCGGGCCAAGCTCAAAGCCCAACTTCTGAAGCTTTGCTGCGACATGATTTGTTCCATGAGGGCTTTATTGATGCAATTCATGTGTGTATGCATGCATGTAGTTTGTTTTCTATGATGTAAGGGTAGCATAATGACTTGTAGTAATGCGTATAGATACCTCGGTAGTAGTATGGATACCTCGGTACTTGTAGTAGAATCCTGGCTTGCTTCCTGTTCCAGGAAGCATTCTATGGTTATGCGAAGCCGGACCGATCCAGCAGGCTCCCGGGGGCTTTGCACATCGTTTTTTATCAGTTCAGTCTATCAACGATGGTCTTTGTGTTCTTCGTGATTGCCATGATAGTAGTGTGCAGTGCTTCAGAGGTGCACGTGTTCCAGAAGTCATTGCCGATTCGGATGACGAGGGGTCTGCTCCCGCACCTGTTCGTGTCCCTGTTGATCAACAAGAGACCCAGAAGTATGACGTGGATACCCAAGTGCTCATGGAGCCATTGTTGGCTGAGGAGGTGAATGCCATGAACTCCACAACCGAGTCACCCCCCAAGCCCCGAGAGCTGTTTCGAGGTCAAGTGATCGAAGGTGGAGCTTCGGAGCTCAAGGTGCACAAATTCATGGAATTGTCCCCGCCAGGCGCAGCTCCCTGAATTAATTTATGCATGCATGTGGTAGTATCGCTGTGTGCAATGCAATGATAGCAATCCTGCAGATGAGTTCGCATGATCCAGGGCTTTACTTCATTTCTTTCAATAGTCTCAGTGAGATTTCTTTTCTCAAGTTGAGGTTCTCACAAGAAGTGACCAGCTTGCTTTGAAGGGCTCCCGCCCCGATGCTAATGATGATCTTGGTGATGTGGATGGGCCCAAAGTGAAGCGGGGTCCAGGGCGGCCAAAAGCAGCCGCAGGCCCCAAGGCAACTGCGAAGTCCAAGGCGAAGCCTGTGCCGAAGGTGAAGGCAAGTGCAAAGTCATCGTCTAGCAAGAGCAAAGGTGCCAAGAAAGCCAGCGAGGCTTCCTCTCCGGCACCTGACGACGATTTGCTCCCGCAGGCTCCCTTGGAGGCGGAGGGGGAGGCAGCCAGTTTGGAGGGCGAGCCCGACGATAGACGTCGGGCCGTGAAGACGCGCCGAGGCGCGTTCAAGAAGCGAGGGCATCGAATGGGCCGAAAGGGCAAGAAATCCAGGAAGGTGAAGCGCAATACCGATGCGGACGATGGCCCAGCTCATGATGCTGAGCATGAAGAGAAATCCATGGGCCCTTCGTCAAAGCGAGGCAGATCCCCTGACGTGGTTGGTGACGATTCCTCGGAATCCGGCGCCGCAGCCAAGAAAGCCAAGCGCAGCCCCAGAGCGAAAGCCAAGAGCAGCCCCAGAGCGAAAGCCAAGAGCAGCCCGAAAGCGAAAGCCAAGAGCGGCCCGAAGCCGAAAGCCAAGAGCAGCCCGAAGCCGAAAGCCAAGGGCAGCCCGAAGGCGAAAGCCAAGAGCAGCCCGAAGCCGAAAGCCAAGAGCAGCCCGAAGGCGAAAGCCAAGTCGTCTGCCAAGGGTGAGGACACGAGGGCGCCCGTGGAGGAATCCGAGTTCAGTGGCGATGAGTTTCCCGTGTGTGGGTTCAACTATCCAAAGACCTTTGCCGGTAGGTGGAGTCCGAAGGTGCCGAACAGCCACGGGTGGTATGTTTGGCGCTACATCGCCAAGACGTTCATTCAGATCGTTGCCCCCAACATCCGTGACCGCACCCGATCCAAGAAGGAGGTTAGGGGTTTGAAAATAAATGGTAGTTGCAAGGTTTTCGTTGTGGTCAGGTCCGAGTTAGGGGTTCTCAGAAATCATCCGTATCCGTATGGAAACTTAAGCCTTAAGCTGCCTATCTTCATATCCATCCTGGCTCAGTTGGAGTACTTCTCGTTTGCCAAGAAGAATTTCGTGGAATCGGGGCTTAACGTGGCCCGCCCTGATACCGAAGAGTTCTTTGCGGAGCAGGCTGAGCTGTATCTCCGTGATTTCATTCAGCGCTTCGAGGCCCAGGGTACCACAAACGAGAACCCAAGCCCCTTCGTGTCTGAAACTCTACAGGGCTGTATGGTCAAGGGATTGAAAGTACATGTTTGGTTTAGGGTTTGGGTTTAAGGCTTCCTTTGTGGGTTCGTACTTCGAAAGTAGATTATTGCTGGCAATTCTGATTAATTGATTTGAGGTACTATATATCAACCCAACCTCGTAGGAAGCATTGCTTCGGAAGTGTGGCTTGGGGGATGTAGGTTCCGGGTTATGTTGACTTAATTCTGCTGCCTTTGCAGCGAGCCCGGGTTATTATTCGTGCAAGCACCTTAAGTAGCCCCTGCCGAAAAGCGATCGAGCCCGTAGAAGCTGAAGTACATAACTGTCGTCCGGATTGCAAAATGGCTACCTCTGCTTAGCTATGCCTAGCCCCGACCCTGAACCCTAAACCTTAAGCCCTTAATTACATAAGTCGAGTCTACACCAACTACCGAAGTCCTACCTAAGTCCTCCAGATACACCTCTGATTCTGTGCAGGTGGAGCGCGAAGGCGATGCGGACTGAGACTAAGATCTCTGCTGCTGTGCAACTAAATTTTGGCTAGTTTCTGTGTTCCGGGGATGGCAGCTCTTAAGTGAGTGTGGCCTGAGCCTCTACATGCGGCTCATTTTGGGGAGCCCTGAGGCTGCTGTGCCACTTAGATTGCTTGTGCAGCTGCCGACCAAAGATTTCAATTTCAAGAACAGCCGGGCTGCTACATGCAGAATGATCCTGAGCTTCTGACTCATGCGTGCAGACCTCATCACACCGCTTCCTGCAGCAATGGGTGCTGCGAAAAATCATTGTGCTCTGGGCGATCACGTGCAAGCGCGAGTGCTTGTGTGAGTCAGAGCTGATACCCTGTGCACCAACTGTATATGCAGAAATAGGTCTGCCCCCTTTACCTGTTCCCTTTGATCAAGACAAACTGCCGTGCAGGTGATCATGTCTCTTCAAGGAAAGCGAGGCCTCTGCCGGGATGGTTGGCTCAGCACTCCTCATGAAGCACCGGCTGGAGTCTCTGACATGAGTTGGGCGGGATACTGTGCTCGAGTTCATGAAGACTTAATAGAGTGGTCGGCTGCAGGAAGCATGTTGTTTGCAACGAACCGTCTTCCAGGTGGCTCATGTATGCTGTTCAACGACAGAGAGAGTGGCAGGAGCTAGAATAGCTACAACCCTAAAGCCTTCAAGCCCTAAACACCCAAGGACCTTAAACCCCTAAATCCCTAGAACACATCCCTATAGAACACAAAAACCTTAAACCCCTAAAGATGCTGCTCAGTGGAACTGATTATCACTACAGGTGCCTTGGGTCAAGAGTTTTCTAAATTAATTGAGGTTTGTATATAGCTCGATCAGCATCGGTGGCACCATGCCTCGCCCCGATATCGATGTCGTGATCCCGGCGCTTTTCAGCCTCGGCGCACCAAAGGTTGCTTGTCCCAACTATATAGTACGCATGGCCTTCTGATGCCTCGATCGTCCCTTTGGTGTGTGGTAGTTGAAACTGCTGCATGCTGTTTCTGTGATCCAAGATGTTTGTACTATGTGTGCTTCTGTTGGTCTGGAACCACGACCTCTCCTTTGACAAGGTGCCTGTTCTCTAGCAGAGTTAACCATGCTGTCTGCATGTCTTCTGCAATCGATTGATTTATAAAGTATAGTCGCGGCTGCCTGCAGGATCTCGACTTCATCGAACTTTTCGCAGGATCTGCTATGCTGGCTCGGGAGGCCACAACCAAAGGATACAGGGCTGCAAGCCTGGACATTGAGAAATGTCGTGGTATGAACATCCTACGATCTTCCGGTTTTGCGAGACTTGTCTCTAATATGTGCATGAGGCCATATAGTGTGGATGTGAATCGCGTCTGCACACATCACATGCCACCATTCAGTGTCTCTCTTTTATCGAGGACGTTCCTCGCTTCGATCCTGAATGGTCGCCCCAGTGGATTTGTGAGTTGGTTGGCAGTGGTTTGCAGCTCTTGGGTGGATGCCTCTCGTGGTTCAACCAAAAGGTCTTGGGTTATGCCTGAAGGCTATGATGGGTTTGCATCGGTACACGCTGGGAATGTGATGGTATCCAGGTATCTAGACTGCAGCAAAATCGTATATGTTCGTGGCTCCCATGCAAACCGAAGCCCCGAAACCAGGCCAAAGCTTCCTAGACCCTGTAAACATAACCCGTTCAAGCCCGTACAATATCCGGCCCTTAAGATTCGATACCTTGAAGCCCTTGAAACAGCTGACTCAATGAGGTGCTCCTTTATCTTGCTGCTTACCATCGCGGCTGGTGGGAATTGGATCCTGGAGCAGCCACGAAGTAGTTTACTTTTCCGTCACCCGAGAATGCGCTGGGTTTGCCAATGCCACAAGGTAAGGATCTGTAGACGAAACTAGAGTATGACTGCCGCACCACTGTCCAGTTGCTCGTGTATACTTATGCAGCAGCTTTGAATGCAGTAGAGTGCCCATCCTCTGAAGGTATACAAGATCCGAATTTGGATGGGCCAATTCGGCTCCCCGACACCTAAGCCAACGACTCTGTGGTCCAGCACATCACAGGTTTCTGGCTTCTGGTCCAGCACGAAGTTCAGCCTCAAAGACTTTAAAGCACAGCAAGGGCGCCCGGGACACCGGGGAAAAGTTCTAAAGACATCTGTTCATTATACAGATTCCAATGGCCAGCCACGTTGGAAGGGCACCCGTGACATGAAGAAAACTCAGCAGCTTGCTTCGATCTGCATGCATGTATATTTAGAATCTAGAATACCTGTAATGTGGTTTCGCGTTTTTTTTTACTTCCGGGTTTTCGGAGTCTGGTATTTTCGGGCTTTAGGGCTTCGTGAAACTACAGCACTTCAGAAGGCTTTCGAGGTTAGGATTTGTATTTGCTTAAGGCCCGGAGCTTATCGCTGTTAAGGGCTGAGGGTTTCAAGGTTGCAGGGCATGGGTTTTCAGGGTTGGAGGTTTGTGTCGTGTATATTTAGAAGTTTAAAGGTTTTGGTTTTGAGGCTTCAGATGAATTATAGGATCTCGGACCCCAACACTACATTAGCATCTGATCCAAATGACAGGGTTCGTCTTAGCCAGAGCAGCTGCTAACTTCGACCCTACATATCCCCAAACACTCAAATCTAATCTAGCTCTAGTATATACTTTAAGTAAGCAGGATTAGGATTAGGGTTGTTTGAAAGCCCTGTGGCCTTAAACCCCATGAGCTTAGGATCCGTTGAAGATTTATAAATTCAGCCCCTCATGCACTTGCAGTACATTATATGTGCAATTAATTACGGTCTGAAAGTTCTTCGATCGAGATATATGGGATCATCCCGAGCTTGTTTGCTAAACAGTCTTTGTAGGCCTTATTACTAAACTTGTTTTTGGGCCTTGTGTCGTTGCTTAATTCTCGAAAACCCTGTATGACAGACTTATAAGGTATTCCTGAATCCTTGAAAAAAAGGGCACTACCTCGCCTATATAGGATGAGCTCTGTCGTATATTGGGTTTCGGATTTAAGGCTTGGGGTGAACTAGATTGTACGGTTTTATGCAATGCACCAGTTAGTCGTTCGAATCATACAGTCGAGATCTAATCTGTGGGGGACAGGTATCGGTGTAGTCGAAACATGGTAGATAGGACATATCCCCTAAACCCTGAAACCTCACTAGATCGGCCTTCCTCTGTGTCGACCACTGTCTCGCCCAGGAACTATCCCCGTGGCCTGGCAACGAGACTGGTTGAGGTCTTCCGCTTCCTGCAATTGGACGTGCCGCCGGTTCCAGTTAAGGTTGAGGGTGGCACTGCTCTAGACTACTTTTCACGAGCCACCTACACTGATGACTGTGCGGATGCCAACCTTCGTGAAGTGGTACATTATCTGTATGGCTGTCGGGGATTGCAGATACCTGCTGAGTGGCGTCCGCTGATGCCAACCCAAATTTAGATGAACTTTCCAGGTCTAGGTGGAAGTCATCTTATGGCATCTTATGGGTGCAAATTCATGTGCATGTGTTTGTAAACACATAGCATGCATACTGCCTGTAGCTACACCCATGCATGCAAGGGCACAGCTACAATGTGTGAGTGTCATGGTAGAATGCAGTGCTTTATCTGTGATAAAAAGCTGCTGCTGGCCCGGTTCTGCAAAGCAAGAATGCACGAGAAATGTGGAACAGTTCTGCCTCCATCGTCAAGACGATACTCTTGTAGGCAACACCACCACCTCGGTCGGTGCCACTCATGGATTGAGGGTGCCAGGTTTGGGAAGGATGCAGTGGGGTTTTGTACTGCTGTTTCCCGGGTTGCCCTAAAGGTTCGGTGTGTTTCGTGTGCTGGGAAGAGTCGGGGAGGGGGTTTGGAGCGGTTTTGGCCGGCTGGCTGATGTTTCTCTAGATCTGGTAAGCTTTTACTGATGTTTTTTCTTGTTTTTGGGGCGGTTTTGGTGGTTTTTCAGGGTAAATCGACCAAGGACGCCCGTAATTAATGCACCGACGCCCGTAATTATAGCCCAAATGCCCGTAAATCCCAGCACCCCGCCCGTATATCTAGACCCCCACAGCCGTATTTCCCCTGCACGACTGGTTTTGCTAACATTGCACGCCCGGAAACACCCGCGCAAAAGGCGTACAAAATGCGTACAACGCCCGGAAAAAAGCGTACAAACTGAAGCCCTGAAACTAACTCTGGGGTCCTGGGCTCGTATCGACTTTTGTGTTCGCTCGCTTCCTGTTCGTAGGACCTTTGGAAGGGTCTACAGGTCAGCTCGGGCCGGCTAGGGGTAGAGTAGTTCGTTGCTTTTGCCGATGGAGACCCAAGCTCTTTCCGTGGCGAAGAAACTTCTCAGTAAAGCATGGAGCGGGTCAACCTTGCTTGAGGGAGTTTCTGGAATGATGGTCAAAGAAGAGCTACCTGATGACCCAGAAGATCTCCTTCATATCATCAAGGAGCCCAAAAAATTAATCAATTGAAGCTAATGACTAACTTAGGCCTATATTGTATGCTCGATCATTGAGTGGCATTAGCTGAGTCAGCCAGAGTCCATAACCTGATGGAGTCATTTCGGCTATCCCACTTGCCCCTTCTTGTACCTATTGATTGCAGGACCTCGAACGTCAGCTAGCTACTCGGTGCAGCTCCCCGGAAGCCACCATCAAGGCCACTGATGAGGAGCTGGCTGCAGCAGGTCTGGCACCTTCGGCACCTTCGTCATCAGAAATCCCTTACAAAACACCCCTCCTCGAACCACCAATCCCTGCAACTCGGCTGTAGTGTATGTGGCAACTAATTTGGGGCATGTGTGCCTTGCAAACCAGAATCCAAGCACAGTCTTGAATTTACAACCCACACACAGGCTAGTCCTGGTTCTGGGCCTATGGCAGCAGCAGATGAATATGAAATCCTTGAGATTTCCGATGATGACATGCCTCAGGATGCAACTTGACCTGCTATAATTACTAGCTGTCACAGATGTGTGCCTGTATTCTTTCACACGAAAGGACGCTTGACTCATTCTGAGGACCTGAGGAAAGCTTTGCGTCACTGCTCTTCTGCAATGGCCACGCCCCACAAGCCGACCAAGAATGAAACCGCAAAGACCCCAAGCCCGGCTTACCCACGAAGCACCCCGCAGACAAAACACTACACGCCAAACCGCCGCCTCAGCACCAAGACCGAATCCCTGCTGCAATGGAAGAATAGCAGTCTCGTCTTGAGAGTTTCTTATTGAATGTAGCTGCCTACCAAGCAATAGCTAAGGAGGAGCGAGATGTATTGCTTCGGAAGATCCAGGAGCAAGCGAAAGAGCTCGAACAGCTCAAGAAGGCGACTAAGGCGACACCCGCTCCCCAACCGGTTACACGCCGCCTGGATCGTGAGCTAGCGCAAGCTGCCAAACACAAGCCTGCCCCGACTCGCCAGCCTGAGCCGAAGAAGGATTCCAATTCAAACTTCGAGTTCTTCGGGGCTTAGAGTGGAGAAGAATCTTAGTTGGGGTTCTGGGTTTCTCACTGATTTGTAGGCCTGTGTAGCCCTTTAAAACCTATATTCTCTCAGAATTGGTTTAGCTTTTAATATCGCTCGATGCCAGAAGACTATCCTAGCTGTATACCCGAGATTATCCAAGCGATCAGCACCTATCTGAAGCCGCGCTCAATTACCCTATCCACGAATGCCAAGTTAACGAAATTGCCAACCTGTACAGAATGTTCCATGTCAATAACAGGACAGCGACGACGATGACGACAGCAAGGCCGATTACAACCGCATGCGGGCCAAAACTGGCCGGCTGTGCAACCGTACTGCAACTGGCAAGCTTCAGGTTTCGGAGGAAATCCACAATATGTGGCTTCAGAAAGGACGAATTCGCGACGACCTCATCGCAATCATGAGCGAAGCTGGTGGAAACCGAGACTCCCTAACTGCAGAGAATAGTTATTTGATTTATAAGGTTTCGGGGCTTTTCAGGATTAGGGCGTCGAAACATTGAATGCATACTGCCTCTTGGCTGGAGGACGAGTTTATGCGGAAGGTTGAGGTTTGGAAGGAGACTTCCAAGTTCCGCGAGCTCGCCACAGATGGTGGCTTTTACTCCGAGAGTGATATGAAAAAACCGGTCAGCGAGGGTGGGCTGGGCCTGAAGGAGACTCTAGGCTCCATTTCTACGCATGGCTGCTAATATAACGAAAGTTTAGACAAGTCTAATTGTCGTTGAAATACATGCATCCCAACCCCGAAATATTTCAATTATAATATTACAACATACCGCTTTCCCGAGGAAGCGTGTGAAGCAGGTCGTCACTTGGTGCGAGGCGCACCCAGGGCACAGTCGGCTGCTTCGGTGCATCAGGTCTTGGCACGCGGTTGTGCTGGGCTCGGTTCTTAGAGGGTTTAGAGGTTAGTGTGTCATAGGTTTTAAAGTTTTCTTATGGAGAAGTGTCACTTGTTCTTCGGCTTAGTCTCGTCAGGGCTCGGGGCTATCTTAATTTGGGTTATAGATCTAAGACTACTACCGGCCTATGGGGGCATATTGGGTTTCTTCTGCGTGGTTTTTGCTACCTTCGGTTCTATGCATGGTCTAGAACACCTTGTATTTCTCATGTTTCCATGGGGTGGGTTCGACTTAAAGGGAATATAGAGCGGTCCGGGCTCGTGGGGTAGCTGGGGTCTGTTAGGGCTTGTGGGGTCCTTCAAGGCTTTATTTCAACCGGTGCTCCCACTTCACGATCGATATGTGGTTAGTAAAGATTACACTATTTCAATATTGTTTGTTGCTGGGGCATCTCTCCTGGGGTAATACTTTTTAGTGCCCTCTGAATCTAGGGTCATGAACCTTTAACTGGTATATGATAGCTCGAATACAACTTCTCCTATATTCCTCGCTCTCTCTATCTGTCTCCCTATCCCTGAATCTCTCTCTGCCTTTGTCTGACAGACTGCAGGAAACCTTTTTGTAGATATGTTTTACTCTTAGTAAGCCCGGTCTAATCTCGGCCAAGGAAATGCAAGTACGACGAGGATGAGACTGAGTACTGGGTCGATCATAGGACCCACGGCACCCGCGGGAGCCGTGAAAGTGAGAACCTAAGAGATTCCACGAAAGCCGAAGGCCAGGTGTCCGGCATGTCCAACAGCTTCAAGCCGGGCAACCTGGACGAGTGGAATCTCAAGGGTGCGGGGACTTGTGAAGTGGAGTCTGGAAAGGACAAGGCACCTCGGCTTAGGTGTTCCTTCCAGAGGGGCTTGTGGGATGTTGTAGTTACTTTCTTGGAGCCACTGCATGCAATATCTCAGGTCTCAGACACTATCCTGCGCCATATGCAAGAGTCTGTGGCGACTCGAGACAAGTTGGCCAAGTTTGCCGACAGACTTGACGGTCGGGATGCTGCCGCGGCTTCGTGTGATGCTTAGATTAATAATTGTGACTGCACGTATAGCTTGGGAACCACAAAAAAATGTGGCCTGGTTTGCTGATTGCCAGACTTCTGCTGCTCAGGGAGATGAAGAAGATGACCGAGGTGATCGCTTCTTTGGGGACTTTGTACGATGATCTGGCGAAGCTACAGGCAGAGGCCAAGGTCAAGCAATTCAGTGATGCGCAACCTGCCCTGATGTTCACGTAATTCCCCGTGAGTGCGAGTAGCTGAGAGTGAGGCAGGCCAATCGTTGTAGCCGAGGCAGCTGAGCCACCTCGACGCCAAGTGCGAGGATGTCAAGCGACAGATTCTCGTATATGCATTCATACCATCTCAAAGCTTCTCCATGATATATGCATGCAGTAATCAATCATAGATCCTTTCGATCCTGCTCGCAAATCTGAATACCTCCGTACTTCTAGATGGCTAGCCGAGGATGGTTTTGGCTACATCATTGGAGGTGAAGAACAAGCCGCTAGCCGCAACTATTCAGTGCTCCGCTGAGAAATTCTGTAATGCAACCCAAACATGCTCTCCTTATTCAGGAAGCTAAAGAAGAAGGTGGCACCGAAGAGAGGTGCCAACGAGAGCAAGCCACCCGAGGCTGTGACGACAACCCCGAACCCCAAGAAAGGCAAGAGGCCAAAAAATGCTCCCCGTAGCGCCTAGAGTTGCCTAGCTGATAGCAAGGAAGATCCTTGCGGCTTGTCATCACGTTTCTCGTTTCCTGGGTAGTTTCCCAACGCAAATTTGGAGCAAGATCTGATCCTATACCTATCGTCACAATTATAGGTGATTTATATGCCCTCGTACCCGAAGTATAACCCTTAAAAGCTGAACCCAAGCAACACGAAGTTATGGAACCCCTCTAAACCTTAGGCCTTAAAGCCGGTATCTCCAATGCTTAGAAAGTAGGTGACAGATTGCTCAACACTGCGTTGGCTGGGGAAAAGGCTTCCTGCAGGATGCACATCGATGCATGTGGATCCCCAAATTGTCGTGACCTGATTGACATGGGCTGCTAGGTCTTGCACTCTTTTGGTCTATAGTCGGGTCTTTAAGGGTTGTAAGAGTTTTGGCTCCTACTCTTTTCGTCTAGTGGGGTCCTATGGGTTTTGGAGCCTACTCTCTTGGTCTAGTCGGGTCTTATCGGGGTGGAAGAGTCTTGGGGTTGCAAATGCAAGAAGTCAGTGTCAGTCAGGCCGAGTTCCGAGTTCACAGCTCCGTTCGCTTGGGAAAAGGATGCACTGATCAAGCTAGGGTCGAACATCATGGCTTTCTTATTCTGTCTATCTTTGTATGCCTAAGAACTGAGCCCCAATATATTTAGAGAATCCTCGATGATATTCGGTCGAAACCCATAATCTCTAATGCCCTCGAGACTCAAGGCCGACAGGTCAGCAACGAAAAACCTTGGGACCCCGGGCCTACCCAAGCCGTCAAATCTTAGCTGATGTGTTGCCTGAAGTTAAACCCTCCAGCCCCTGAGCCCAAGCTGTATTCGTCAAGTCGAACTATACATATAGACCCCAAACTGTAGTCCTTTTACAATCTATGTTTGTCTGAGTTGTTGCTGAAGGCGGTTCTGGAAACCTGACTGAAGCCCCCGAGCCCTTTACTAAATCTTGAAGCCGTCCCAGCCAAATTGCAGCTAGCGAAATAATAAAGCCCTCCAGTCCAGAAACACAAGAGCCAGGTGGGACGGATGCTGTGTCTGATCGGGCCCACACATTGGCGAGAACTCTGGGATCTGGCGCCGAAGCCTCAGCCAATCATCAGCCCGAGAACGAAAGCTCGCAGTTGCTGCTCCGATGTTCCCAAAGCAATCCAAGTTGTTCGTGTGGGTTCGTGCCGATGATGTCTCGTGTTGCTACTTTGCTGCCCGCAGGAAATCTACAAATCGAGGGTTTCAAGGTCTCGACTAGGTTCTTTTGGAAGCAGAACCAAAACCTATAGATAGATATGCAAAGCACACTAGGACACTCTCAAACATGAATTTAATGTGATCCTGATCGACTTATACTCGATGGCAAAGCAATAGCACAAGCTTCCGTGCCCATGACGCGCAGAAGAGCTTTGGATGCCATCTTTCCCTGGGGCTCGGACAGCGAAAGCACAGGTGAGGATGTTGAGCAACCATTGGAACCTGTGGCGCAGACGCTCACAAAGCAGCTAAGTCGTCCAAAGCTGGCAGTTGGAATCACGTTCAACTTGGTTCCTCATGGTTGCCAAGCAGGACAAGTCCTGCTTCGTTGCCAAAATGCAATACAGAAGCTTCGTGTGGAGAATGGTGGGGAATCCTTAGCCATTTACAAGATTGGCATAACACATGACTACAGCGACCGCTTTGAGCTGTACGAAGCAAACGGCTGGACCACAATGCTCATTATGATCGAGAGTTCAGACCTTGGTTTTGTTGAGATGCTTGAAGCTGCTTTGATCTCTCATCACAGAGGTCGGCAGCAATGCCGCAATGTTGCGCTGGGTGGAGAAGGAATGAGAGACAGAAGGGGGAACCCCAAATTCGCACCTCCTTACTACTGCTACTGCACAGCTGCGAGGGCGGACCTGCCTAGATGGGTTATGTAATTTAGATTCTAGATCCTAGGCCTCAGTCTATGCATGCATGTATAGTTTTCCGAATCCCAAACCATACTGCTCAAAACTACACAGAACTGTGTGGACGGGCTATGTTTGGAATGCCATGCATATAATTCGAGGAGAGCTAGACGGAAGCCTGAGAATCCGAGCAAAAAGCGTTGTTGCGGGAATATGCTCATGATTCAGATCAAACCCTGGCATCTCCACCCCCGTCTCGAAAAAGCTGCCTCATCGCCCAGGCCACAGCGAAGCACGTCGCGACCATCGCCAAGGCCTTTGCTGATGATATCTCTTCGTGCAAAGCTTTGAAGGATCTCTCGCGAGCTCCGTTGAATGATGCCGAGAAGTCTTTGCAAGCTGTTGTTAAACGATGGGGGCTCACCCTCAATGTTCCACTGACTTATACGGACTTGTCAAATGAATGGAGGGTTCCAATGCTGTTGCCAGCCGATTACATCAGAACTCTTCGGGATGAAGGCTATCTGAACAAATTAGTAGGTGGCTCTGTCAGCAGCAGCCCCACAGACCTGTTTCGGAAAGTTTTTTTTAAGGGTCGGTTTGGTGATGTAGTCTTTTAGGAGTATTTTTGGAGGTGTAGTGTACTGTTGCAAAAGTGAACTAAAGAATCCTATATAGAAACCCTAACTTATCCTTGAAGCACCGGCCCTCTGAAGAACATGGGTTAGGTTACAGTGGCCTCCACAGAAAGTGTCTTTGTTCGGATCAGGTTCTTCCCGGCTGGCTGAATTCTGGGAGCGCTTCCGTGGCGAAGAGCCAACTCACGAAGTTTTCGATCATGGGCATTTCATCGACTACAGCTCCCTAGTTCCTCTATATCTTCACGGGGATGGTGGAAGGACCTACCGGCGAGATGAGTTAATGGTCATACAATTCCAGCCAGTTCTGGGTTTTGGGTCTCGACTTTCGCATCCAAACAAAATTGGGCAAAAGACCGGTATCAACTTGCAAGGCCACAGTTTCACGACTAGGTTCCTGGTTGGAGTGATGCCGAAGTACATGTACCGTGATTCTTTGGATGTCTTTGACGCTCTTATGGTAGAAGCCATGCGCAGCCTCGAGTCCCTGTACTATGAAGGCCTGCAACTTCGGGACGGGCGAGTCCTTCGATTCTTGGTTGTAGGACTGAAAGGCGACTTGCCTTTCTTGGCAAAAGCAGGACACTTGAATCGAACGTTTTTGAATATCAGGAAAGCCCCTGAAAAACCGAGTAGCAAACCCCTAGTGGGTTGTTGCTGGATGTGCGGAGCGGGCACTCCGAACATCCCGTTCGAGGAGTTCACTGCTGAGCCACGTTGGCTTAGTACGTGTGGTGCAAACAATGCCCTTCCGTGGACCAATACACCTCCCTGGTTTGATCACCTCCCTGCACAACTGTACGAGGATCGCGGCAGGTTCTTCAAGCTGGACCTACTTCATATTTTCCATTTGGGTGTGGGAAGAGACTTCGCAGGTAGCAGTTTGAGCGTGCTTTTGGAACAGATCTACCAGGGCGACACCTTCCCAGAGAAACTTCAGGCCATGAACGATGGCTTGAGGGCATTTTGTGCTTCGACGGGCAAACAGATTCACTTCAAGCTTTTGACGCGTGAGCTTTTGGGATTTACAGGATACAGTAAGTATCCTACAGGACATTGGAACAAGGCGAGCGACACGCCAGTTCTGGTGGAGTTCGTTTTCTGGATACTTCAGCAACACGCAGCCGAGCTTGCTCAATCTCGCATGCTACAGGTTATGTCTTCGGCGAGCGAAGCAGTTGGAATCTTTATGCGGGAGCTTTTGCGGGCTCCGCTTTGGCTTTCGCCGCAGCAAGCACAAAGAGCTGGAGATGCATCCCTACACTTTTTACAATGCTATGCTAAACTGGTCAAAATCTTTTACCAGAAGAACGAGTGCAAGTACAATCTGGTACCCAAACTTCACAATCTCCATCATTTGAGTCATTCGCTTTTGGTTTCCGCCGCCAAAGGCAAAGAAGCAATAAATCCACTCAGTTATTGCTGCTATCAGGATGAAGACTTTATTGGCCGTGTGAGCAGACTAAGCAGACGGATCAGTCCTAAACTGTTGGTTCGTCGAACGGTGGAGCGCTATCTTATTGCTACGAGGTACCAACTCTCAGATTCGAAGTGATCTTGTGGAAGTGGGCCCCTATCTAACTTAAGTCCCTTAAAAATAAAGCCTATGTCCGATAAAGCCTACAACCACAGGGTTCTTTGCTTCTGAGCTCCTGGCTCAGAGCGCAGAAGACGATGCCGTCGAGGCAAACAGAAGCGGCTGATGCTTTCGGCGTGATTAAGGGTTTTGGGTGTTATCTCGAGGCCGGGGTTTCCATTGTCTATATAGTTCCGTGGCAAGATTGCAGGCAACAAGCTTTCAGATCGGGGTGGCAGGTCTTTTCAAGGATTGTAGAGCCTTTAAGGTTAGCAGGTCTTTTCGAGGGTTGTAGGGCTTAAGGGTTTTAGGGTTTTGGAAGGCCCCGGGGCCCGCACCAACCCAAATCCTATCCTATTATGTCACTTGTTGAGATGTCTCTGGTCATTCTCTAGATTTCTGAGCCAGTCACCTGTCGGGGCTTTCACAAACCCTCCAGTGATGAAAAAAACATCCTTGAACCCCAACCCTACACCTTATGTGCGAGTCTATGTTGGTGACACTTCAAATTTGCAGATCTTTCATTGATCCCTCAATCATCATTCAAACCCCTCAAACCCCTACGCCCGTAAACCTAGTTTTGCGCCCGGTTCTTATAGGATTATCCAGTCGTTCCCATTATTATCATGAATAACCCATGAATCCTATAACATCGGTTTATTAAACGCCGAGACAGGCCGCAGGTATGTAAATGTACCTATATATATATATGTATATATATATATACACATATTGTAACGACATTGCCAAGCTTTCAGACTCCGAAACAAAACCCTAAACCCTGAAACTCTAGGCCCTCAGCTCAAGACCCTGAACCCTGAAACCCTGAAGCCCTGAACAGCCATGTCAGCCGTATTGAGCTCTCTGAAAGTCAGAGGTGCATTGTAAGAGACGTCGACGCCAATTTACGGGTTCTCGACCCCTACCATGACAACCCGAAGGACCTAAACCCTGGTGCCGAAACCCAGTCAAGGTTGTTACCCTAACTCCTGACACTCTAACTAGCCGTGAGGTCCTGCATGCTTAGACCCTAAACCCTAAGAAACCTTAAAGCCCAAACACTAGTCCCTTTACCTATAGTGTCCATTGTAGTTCCTTTTTTTGGTCTAACCGTTTTAACCAATTCTAGATTAAGGATCCTAAAAGGTAACCACAAAAAGGAACTACAATGGAGACTTTTGGTAGAACCCTTATGAAACCCCCTGGGACGAAGCCAGAGCAGCTGAAAGGAGGTCCCTGAGGGTAACGGAGCAGGACTGGCGATGCTGGCAAGCAAATCTTGTGCACGGGTGAGCTCTTCGTTCACCTCCCGGTGCACTTGTGTGTGGGAGTTCGTCTGCCGGGCTTTCCGAGTTTAGGGCAGCTTAGTTCCGGGCTGCTTCTGGGGTGTAGGGTTTACGCTTTGTGGACGCCACAGCATCTAAGTTCGACTCCAGCTCCTTTCACAACACCAAGCTAGACTCCCAAGGTTCCTTCTAACCCCGCAGCCTCATCATCAAACCTGCATTTATGCCCAACCTTAGCCCAAAGGAGCAAAAACACACAGGCACGGACATAAGAAGAGGGCCTTATGAACGCGCTCCTTGGCATTGAAGAGCATCGCTGTGGATGCGAAGCGATGCTCCTGTTTTGAGCTCTTAGCCTTTAAGCTTCCAATATGTGGGAGCCCGAATAAGCACATACTGCAATATATTGACTATGTATTGTATATTATACTATCTTATTCCATATGTCTGATACTATCTTTCCTTATCGTACATATTATATCCTGTTCTATTTCATGTAGTACATGTTATATTTGACATACTGACTATTCTATATTCTATATTGTTATATATGGAAAACTTTATCATGTACTACATTTATATATATATATTTATTTAATATGTGTGTATATATATATATAGAGAGAGATCATATTGTGTCATGATGTGTATTATATACTGTATATTTTCAAATATATTATGCATTACGTCAGCTATAATTCTGTATTCTATAAATTCTCTTTTCTATACTGTCATTTTATATCCGATAATATGTATGTATATACTTATAATTAATTTGTATTGAACCATTAATAGAATAGGGTTTGGGCTGTACTGTATCAAAACTATACAGGGGCTATTCCTCAACGGGTCCCACTGCAGGAGCACTCGCTAGAGGGAGGTGGTGATTATTTCGATCTGCATGTCCGACGCTGTGATCAAGTTTTGAGGCGCTCGATTCAAGAGTCTCAAAGTACGTAGCATTAAAGCATATGAACAATGACAATCTGTTGTCACAGTGGTCTGGATCGAAAGGCGCCCCACGCGCCTGATCTTCGTCCTGCACGGGGACGATCTTACGCTCTCTTGTGAGGTGCTCTCCAAGGTACTAGATGAGTAGTGGCTATGGACTCGGCCTTGAGTCATACAGCCACGAATAATATAACAGGGGACGTTCAACCCTATAATAAAACCATAAGCTGCCATAAACCCTCTGTCGGCTGCCAGAATACAAGTGGGAGGGCAGGGGGGAGGAGGATGGAAGTGGGGCGACCCTCCAACCCAAACTACCCTCAACCCTCTGAATGCCCATACCCTAAACTTCCTCAACCCCTCAACCCTCTAAACCCTAAACCCATCAACTCCAAACCCCAACCCCTGTCGGGTTCAGGGCGGCTGAGAGGATAGCCACTCCGCCCAAGTTGAGTACGACCTTACCATGATCTCCGGGCCGTATCCCATGGACCCCAAGCATCTTGAAAGCCCCAGTTCTGAACCACAAGGAGGCCACTCGGAATAGTCTGAGCCCGAAACCCTCAAACGCGAATTGTAAAGAAAACGGGTGCCCCTGACAAAGGGTTCCTTGTGGCAAAGTCACATATCTTTGCAAGGATTCTATGGGCCTGAGTCCCAACCCTCACTTTAAGCAGTCTCTGCCTCGCCAATGTCAGGTGGCGGGGCAGGAACCAAATCTGCCAAGCAGAGTGGGGTTTTGGGCTTAAAAGCCTTACACAGGGCTTTGGGGGCGGAGGGGTTGGGGCTTAGGGAGCTGTCTGGTTTTCAGACGGCCCCAGGAAGAGGCAGGTTTCGGGCCACATATAGGTTTTAGGCTTTAGGGTTGGGTGACACGAGCTTCGACCTTCCGGGTATTCTGTGGCTGAAGGCTCAAGGATCTGCAGGCTTGTCCGAGCCTCTATTGCCTCTCTATCCTATCGAGCCCCAAAAATCACCTCCCTTTCGGCTTCTGCCTTCTCTGGGGTCCATGAGGCCTTACATGGGGCTCAGGGTTGGGGGCATGGGGACTTCTCTGCTGGCTTCACCCCCTTCGGCTTGCTGCACTTTGCTTACACCCCTCTCTGCACCACCCGGGTTGAGGGTTTAGGGTTTAGGGCCAGGGTTTAGGGGTTTGGGTTTTTTGCGGTACCATGCCAGCCTGCCCAAGCATGCCTGACATGGGCTCCCCGACAACCTGGAAGCCCCAAAACTCTGTTGCTTTATACACCTGAAACCCTGAACACCAAAGCCGAACTCCCCACACCCGAAACCAGTCCATCCGATGAAACCCTAAAGACCAGATCCTGAGTCTCAAAACCTGAAAACCGGAAGCCCTCACAGAAAAAAGTTCCCAGCACCTCTGACTGCCCAAACCCTAAAGCCTACTAAAGCCTAAGCCCTATACAAAACCCTAAAGCCGTTCTCTCATGTCAGAACTCCTCCTGGGGAGGACCGAGTCGGTCTTTGCTGGGTCGACAGGACTTGGCCAGGAAACGTCAGCTCTGAAGCAGCGGTTGGTTTTGAGTTCTCAGAGACACGCCTCGGGTTGTGATGGATCAAGTATGCTACTAGTCTTAAGACCTTTAGAGATCATGATCTAGGTCTTGATCCTTTTGGCCGCGCTGATACAGGTAAGACTACTGACTCTTGCCGGTAGCTCCTTCCTTGTGATGGTTTAGAAAACGGCAGCCCTGTCTGCAAACCCGTCAGGAGTCGAGGGTGCAGGACGCAAAGGTTCTATGCGGTTTGACGGCACTGGCATCCTGCGAACACAGCAATCCCAAAATAGTCCCTGCACACTACTAGTCGAATTTCGAGTGTAGATAGGCTCCCAACGGGTTTATGATAATGGCAAAAACGAGTAGAGGGACCCTCCCACAGTGAGACATTTTCAGGAGTCATACTGGGAACAATACCTTCAAAATCACCAAATCCCAAATATCGCCATCTGAAACCCTAGGCCCCAAACCCTAAACCCTGTCAAGCACCCTACTCTAAATATGAAGGCCCGTAAGCCCTCAGTTAGCTCTTCGGCAAAAATGCTGAGGCTTGGCTCTTACCTTAGCGGTGGCGGTAGGGTGTTTAGGGTCTAGGGTGTTGAGGATATGTTGCAATAGAAGGACTATATTTGGTGATATTCAGGAGGGCTATGGAGGGGCACCGCTCCTACTAATTCTTGCGAATTCCTACGGCAGAATTCTGCAGTCCAGGATGTTAGCTGCGATTCCTGGCCACATCGGCTTTGTACAGAAAGTCTTTCAGAACACCTCATACCCTAAAAAACCCTAGACCCCATTATAAACCTGAAACCCTAAACCCCATTATGAACCGTAAACATCCTAAACCATCCAATATACGAGGCTGATTTCTACCTGTGTGTGCAGGCAGCGCTCACGTGCGTTGGAAGGGTTTTGCAGCAGGAGTCTCGAACCTTCCTTGTCTGAGGCCATACAGCAAATCAAGTATCACTGGCATAATTTGCATGTATGTGTGTGTGTGTGTGTATATATATATATTTATATTTATAATTAGAAAAAATATTATATATATATATTCACATTCAGAATTGGATTATTATATTCAAGGGATAAGTAACCAACCAAAACGAAGATGGAGCTTGCTCAAATATCTGCGCTGTCCATAGAACCCCATGCAATCTGTATTTCGAGGTGTGGGTTCACCAACCCTAGGAGGCTGCAAGCACCCTCGAGCCTAAGCCACGCACCCGTAACCCTTGGCACAGAATAAAAGCATGGAAGCATGAGAGTTTCCAAACAAAACAGCAAATCAGATATGCACATACAGATGTGTGTCTATACATGTCATGTACGTATACATGTATACTTATATGTACACGGTTATGGATATA